TAACCTTAAAAGGCTTTCTTTTCCATAACCATTTTCCAAATTCAATAAATGTGGCACCCTCCATGTGAATTAATTGACAATTGGAGCATCCATTACAATCTTTGCAATCACTTCACTAATCTATTTAATATACATAAGAGATCCCTATGGCCAGGTATTTTTTTCTATCTCGGTGTTTCTAGAAATTGTGGTGGCAGCATCTAGTGCTGATTTTCAAGATTGAAAATTAGGCAGAAATTACCTTTGACCAAAATAATCAGTAAAAATGAATTGGGGCTATGTGTGGAAATCAGTCTACTGGACATTTTGTTTGTTTATTCAAAAGCAAATTTTCAATGAGTTAACTAGATGGATTGGTATTGACTGGCCCCGGATCCAGGAACTGGTTGGATTGAGAAATACTTTAGCTATTTCCATAGATACAAGTCAATCCAGGCACCAAAACAAAAACAAAATCAAAATTGCCAAATGAGTTTCGTGAAAATAGCAAAATATGGTCATGGTGGAATAGGATCTATATAACCTGCTTTCTACCTCATTTACTGGATCACAGAGCCTGTCCTCTTATTATTATTCATTGTTACTGAATCAATTTCTGGTAAAAATTTCACTTTAACCTGAAGAATTGAAAAAAATCTGTGTCCAGATTGTTATTACTAAAGGTGTAGAGAACTATTATATTATTATTACAACTAGGCATAGAGAAAAATTCTTTTCCATACAAGAAACTTTTTACTGCTCAGGGTCCCAAGAGCTGTTGACCAGGAAGCTTTCATGCCTTCCAGTATCCTTCACCCACCCCTTGCTTCTCCTCTTTTCCTGGCTATAAAGCTCAAGTAAAAGCATCATTACATTGGATGATGCCCGTACTATTCAACTCTTCCTCGACCATCTTAATATTTTCCTTGAAATCTGAGTGCCTTATTAACAAAGGTATGTGTCACTTCTCCTGAATGTTCTGTATATAAAAATTTGAATCTGCAATCTGATAATAAATGCCAAAAATATTTAATGAGTTAAATTCACTTTTCATTAGAACTTTTTTAAATTAACAAGTTACTATTTCTTTAAAGAGCCAACACCCTGATTCTGTTTAAAATATGGTTTTACTTTACTCACAAAAAATTCTCGTTACATTGTTTCAAAAATATTACAGAAAGTAAAATACTGCATTTATATTAAGCAAAATAGCTAAAGCAAAAATGACTACAAAAAAGAAATATGCTTATGTCATGTCACACAAATGCTGAAAACCTCCTATGGCTCCCACCATCTCCTTAACAAAGCCTAAGTTCCTTGGTCTCAAGTTCAGGGACTTGTGCAATCTGCTCCCAGCCTTTCCAGACTTGAGCTCCTCCCGTTCAGACGCACCACTCTCCTGCCGAGAGCGATCCATGCCCTGTTTCTTGCACCACACTGAGCTTTTGCTTCTGCGACTCCCTCAGCTTAGAATGCCTCTTAGCCCTCCTCACACCTCACAGTCTCCATAAATTTAATCTGCTATCCTCCGTGGCCCAGTTTAAATGCCTGCTTAAAGTCTTTCCTGAAGTATTTTCTCCTTCCTCTGAACCGCACAACATTTTGCCTTATGTTTATCATTTCTGTTCCTATATGGTTAAGATTCGAATGTAATGACTTACAGTTCCCCACTTGATGGTAAACCCCATGAGCATAAGATGCAAGTCTAGTTCAAGTGCAACTTTCCCTGTGGGACTTCACATTGTGCCTTATATAGAATGGGTGTTCGGTAAGTAAAGTGACAAATGGCCATTGCTCCAAACCCTAGCAATCCATCTTGTACTTCAATTTTCAACAGCGGCCAATTTTATTTTTCTGAAAAGCAGGGAATAGAGGTATTTAAAAGTTTCTTTATAATATGTTATTCACGTGGTACTTTACTCTGTACCGTCTCAATCTTATCTCAAAGTAGGCCTTCGAGTAGTAGCATCAGGTATAGTTATTCAATTACACAGATGAGCAAAAACTGTGAGCCTTTTTAATGGCATAGAAGATCAGAATTGAGTTTTGTGGACTTGAAATCCAGTGCTTCCCCACCATGTCATTCATTGTGTTTAAACTGTAATGACAGACATCTAAACATTTTAATTGCTTTTGAATCTGTACTGCTCATAAGTAATTCTTAGGACATTTTGTAGAACATACACAATGTTCCAAGTCTTTAGTTTTTCATTTTTCCAACAAGTGTTTGTTCAGTGAGTATTCAGTACTACACAAGCAGAATTTCTTCCAGAGAGAAGGGACAGTTGAAGATGAAGAAGACTCTATGGGACATGTACAATCTAATCCCTGGATTCTAGGGGCACATAATCAAATGCAAGTGCATTTGACTTAGAGTTCGTTGTGGTTATAAGGTACAGTGTTTGTTAAGAGGACATGATTACCTAAAACCTACCTTCTTATTTAAGAGGAAAATGTGCCTCCAGAAGACATAGAGAAGGTTGCAAACGGTGTACTTGACATCCACCTGCCAGGAACATCACAAAATCTCACCCATGAACTTGACAAAATACAGAAATTTATGCAACTCTGCGAGGACTACAGGACAGATGAGAACAGGCTAAATAAAGCAGCAGATGGAGCCCAGAAGCTTTTGGTGAAGGCCAAAGTAGCTGAGTAAGTACAGTGTTAATATTCTTATCTTGCTCTAATGGACCATCTGCTAAAAGGCCATCTGAAAAATATTTGCCTAGGGAACTATAATGTTCAAATGAAATTACCTTCCGATGGTTTAGTATCCCAAATAGGGCTGAGCTCTGTTTGGAGGTGCCCCAGGAAGCTGGGCAACGGGGCGACAGTGTGCAGGGACACTTGTTTCCCGTTTCCCTCGACTCGAAATGCCTTTCCCGTGGTCCAATACCTCCTTATACCAGGGCACATCAATAAATGCCATATACTAATTATACGCAAATATTTTAACAGGTGGTTGAAATACTGGTGTATTTTCCCTTCTTTACCTATTTTTGGTACTTTCCAAATAATAAGTACTACAATAAGCAGCACTTTGAAAATTTAAATTAAAAAAAAACTGTAGTAAAAAGATACGATGATGGGAAATAGGAAAAATGGATACTAGTGCCCCAGGAATATTATGAAACTAAAATGATATACATGGTGTACAGTTAAAACTCTTGCCTCCTTCTGCCCTGCTGACTTAGCCAAGCAAAAAGGAAAAGCCATCTTGATGTTTTTACGAGCATGGGGTGCCGTGGGGTCAGGGTTACGGGGTCAGCTGGACGGTGGTTAACAGCAACATCCACTGTCATTGCTGGAAGCTCAGCAGAGTTGAGACCTGAGCTGCCCTCACTGTCTCGTCATCCACGTACACAAATGAAGGTACCAGCCTCATCCAAAAGCCCAACTTTCCACGTTTAATATTTAAAACCAGAAAGATTAAGTAACTGCAGTACAATCACACACAGCAATTAAAAATGATGTCGATAAAGGATTTTTAACAACATGTAGATTCTTACAGTGTAATATAGTTTTAAAAAGCAGGAGGCCAGGCGCGGTGGCTCACGCCTGTAATCCTAGCACTCCTGGAGGCCAAGGTAGGTGGATCGTTTGAGCTCAGGAGTTCAAAACCAGCCTGAGCAAGAGCGACACCCCATCTCTACTAAAAAAAATAGAAATTAGCTGGACAACTCAAAATATATATATAAAAATTAGCCGGGCATGGTGGCGCATGCCTGTAGTCCCAGCTACTCGGGGGGCTGAGGCAGGAGGATCGCTTGAGCCCAGGAGTTTGAGGTTGCTGTGAGCTAGGCTGACACCATAGCACTCTAGCCTGGGCAACAAAGCGAGACTCTGTCTCAAAAAAAAAAAAAAAAAAAAAGCAGGTAACAGATTATACATGGGAGAGAATCTCAGTCATGAAAAGAAACAATTTTGTAGGACCAAAATGTTAGAATAGGCCAATATCTTAAAGGAGGCAGGATTACTGGTAAAATTCCCCCTTTACATTTTTTTTCTTTTTTTGGTACTTTCTAAATTTGATATAATAAACACCACACGGAAAATACAAAGGGAAAAAAGAACACAGTAAAAAGCTGTGGTGGTGGGGAATAGAAGCAGGGGACACTGGAGCCCCAGGAATGTTGGCATGTCACAGAAATGAAATGCTTGGTGGGGGGTTGTGTTGTGAGGAGGGAAGTCTCCTCAAGTTCCCACAGAGAAAAGGAGATTACCAATGGGAGGAGAGGATGGGCTGGGTGGGGAAGGGAATATTTCGCAATTTAGCTAGTTCTGCTCTGGGCACAAGCATTTCCAACGATGCTTCTGCAAAGGTCTAATATTTCACTCCCTCGGAACATTCTTTTCAAGGTGGTTTTGAGCCCATAGATCTAAGTATCTGGTGAATGTTGACTTGAGGTGAGTTCATTTCTGCAAAATAGACTGTATCACTTGGAATGCTTGTGATTTTAACCTCTGATGAGGTCCCTGAGTGGCTGGAATGTTAGTGAAGCTTAAATAACCCTGAATAAACACAGCCTGAAAATGCGGGGCCGTTAGCCCTCTCTCTGCTCTCAGGGGGGCCTTTCGGCTCTCCCACTCCCTACTCCCCACACTCCAATAAGGGTTTGGAGAGTGTCACTTACATTTGAGAAATTAGGGAACCAAAATTGGCTGAGGATAGTTGATATATGCAAAGCTTGACAGTTACACCCCCCAAACCTCCCTGCTTATGACAAATCAAGAAAAAAACAAGACCTATATCCTTAATTTCCATATCCCGTGAAATCTGTATCCACTGGGTATGCATGTCTATGTGTTTTTATTGGCATTTAAATATAACTATCTCAAAGACTTCAGCACTTTCCCTTGCTTAAGAGTAATATCAATTTATAAATAATTCAGTAAGGTTTTTGGTTGAGTCGAATAAGCTTTCTCAAAGTGAAAGAAATGAATAATTGTATATTTATCTAATCTGGTATGCTAATATCTTACCTTAGGAAAGCAGCAAATGCTCTATTAAATCTTGAGAAAACGTTGAGCAAGTTGCAACAAGCTCACATCACTCAAGGACGGGCAAACTCGACCATCACACAGCTGACTGCAGAGATAACAAAAATAACGAAGAATGTGCTGCAGGTATTTCTCTATCTTCCTGGAAACTAACCTGAAACAGGTTTTGAGGGTGGAAACAGAACAGTAGTTTTTATGTATGCCAATGTCATGCTTGCCTTGCCTGTCTGATGGGATTACTTTGAGGATAAAGTAAGATTTGGGTAGTATCATGCATTTAGCTAATGTTCTGCATTAATGTTAGTGGTATTGTTACATTCATGTTGGCAGCATTATGTGTTTAATTCTCTACAGAGCCCTCTCTAGCGTCACTTCATTGATATGACCATCTCTGGGGTCTCACCAAGGCAGGTGCTGCTATCAACTTGTAAATGAGGAAACTAAGACTAGAGAGTTTAAGTGATCGCTTAAGGTCACACAGCTAGTTAATGGTAGATAGGAGGCCAGAGCTCATCCCTTCTGACACCAGGGAAAGGAAGAGAGTTTTGAAAGCTCACAAACCAAAGAAAGACAGAGCAATTACTGCAAGGTTTTGTAACTAAATTTGCACGAAATCCCATCACAGTATCCTAAAACTCAAAGAACATCTCACCCAAAAGAACATGTTGCATCAAGAGTTTGATGGGAGCAAGACACTGGATTGACCCACGTGGTGGACCAGGGAGAGGAAGGCTGGAGTTGGAGGACAGAGCAGGCCCTAATCCCATGGTGTGAAGTCTTTTCCTCCAAGGTTCCATCCTCTGTCACAGCCCCTTCCTTACAGCTTGTGAGTTACTCAGCCTCTGTTCTTCAGCTGTGTTTTATAGATTTATTACATGCATTTGGAAAAGAAAAGCAGAAAGCAACAGAACAGGAAGTAGTGTGCCAGGAAATGAAAGGGTTTGCTATGAAGAGGTTGCCAGTACAGAGTAGCAAAAAAAGAAGCCCCCCCACTTTTCCTCTTCTAGGCATATTCTCTAGAACAAGCGTTAGCAAAATGCAGCCACAGGCCATGTTGTCCACACTGCTTTTGCAGAATAATGGCACAGAGTTGAATGGTTGCAACAGAGACTGTATGGACCACAATGTGTAAAATATTTATTATCTGGCCTGTTACAGGAAAAGTTTACAGACTCCTGCTCTAGGAAAACTCTCACATGTGCCATAGGGCATAGGAAGGGACTTCCATTTCTAAAAATATGGTGGACCAATACCCTAAGGAACCCTCCTATTAGGGAAAAAAAAACTAAAAATGTTAGATACGATATTTAATTTAAGTGTAGAGCTGAATTAGTAAGAAACTTAGGATATCCTCAGAGGCCAAAAATGACAGGAAAGCATGAATCCAGAAATAATTAAGCACTAAACTGACAGCAGGTAGAGGGCATCCGCCAATCCCTGGTGCATTAGAGCTTTGGGTTTTAATGGTCACCATGTGTGACAGACAGAAATCAAAGCCCATGCAGGGAGGGAACAGGATCCCTGTGTAGAGCTGGGACTCCAAAAGGCAAAACTCTCAGTGAAATGTTAAATTTTCTCTCTCTCTGTCTCTGTCTCTCTCTCTCTGACATACACACACACACACACACACACACACACACACACACAATAGAGAAACTTGCTTCTGGGTCAGAGAGTAAAGTCTCCACTAAGACTTGCTAACCACAAACTGGCTCTCCTATAAATTTGGGGCTATAATTCACACTACCCGTGTGCCCCAAAACCCTAGGCTAGAACTGTCATTTGAAGTGGTCCTGGCTCAGCAGTGCTCCCAGATGCCTGACAGAGGCAAAAATCCCCTCCAGAGGAATGACCTTAAATGCTGGCCTTTAAGAATTTCCCCCAAACACAGAAAGAAACACATTACCTTAAACAAGAGTCTTTAGAAATAATGAACAACAGAATCTGGATGCAAGAGACAGTGCATATTACTGTTATTGGATATAGAATATAAAATAAGAATGTTTACTATGTTTAAGAAAATCCAAGAAGGTATGAAAGTATGACCAATGAACAAGAAACAAGAGCTAACAAATAATCAATTAGTTTTGAAATATATTTAAACAGGACTTCTAGACATGATAAATATAATCATTGAAATAAGAAACAAGTATAAAATATTACTGTTTGTAAGGGAAAAAATTAGAAGCCACCTGCACTAGCTGGAGAATAAAAAAATAAATTGTATATTCTAATAATAGAATCTTTTAAAATGGTAAAAGTCAGTGAACTAAAGCTATAGAAATTCACGTAAATGACCTGCACAAGCATGATTTTGAATTTTAAAAACCAGGTTGCAGAAATATACGATATGATATATTTATAGAAGGTGAAAAATAAATACCACATATTGTTAGGAATACTTCATAGGCTATAGTAAAAAGCTTATAGAAATAAGTGGAATGACAAATATTAGATTCGGGATAGTGGTGGACAAAGAGAGAAGATGTGACGGGGAATGGTCCATCGAAGCCCTTAGGTCATTGTCAATGCTTTATTCTTAAACTGGCTGGTGGCTACATGGATATTTGTCATATTTTTTCAGACCGTTTTGTATGTTTGAAATATTTTATTGTAACATTTTTTAATACATGCAACAGAAAAAGCAAAGGCACTATTTTCCTTTATACCCAGCTTATATTATTTATTTTCTTGTTTCATAAAGAAATTTTCCCTTTCTGGTCTTTAAATCAACAACAGGCTGAAAACCAAGCCAAGGACATGAAGAATGAGCTGGACTTAGCCAAGCAGCCGTCAGAGCTGGAGGACGGACTTTCCCTGCTGTGGACCAAGTTGCAAAGGAACGAAGACCAAGCCGTCAGTATGAAAGACTGGGCCGAATCCGCCCAACGTCAGGCTGGGAGCGTTGAGCAGGTCATTAGTCCTACCACTGCCACCAAGAGCAGGCAAACTGTGCTTCTGTGAAAGATAATCTTTTAACCCCAGATTTTTGTGCCCTTTATCAGCATTTCTTTTTGTGCTGGTCTGTGATTTAGTGGTATATGTTCAAGGGATCCTGACACACAAAGCATTTTCTGTAGTAGCAGGCTGTCTCTGTAGATGACAGAAGTCCCTGGCCAAGTCATGCTGGAGTGTTTCCTCCCCCGCCTGTCCATCCTAGTGTTCTTAGTGGTGTCCTGGTCAAATAGTCCATAAATCAAATTTGCCCTGAACTTCCAGATTTTCCCAATGTATGTTGTTTGTCTATATTGTGTGTATTTGCCCTTTACTCTAATTCAATCACATAACATATAAAGAAAACAATAAATGAAAGTCACCTGCCAAAGAGACTAGATCAAGTTACCAAAATCAGAGTGAGTTAATTAAACAGTTGTGGAAAGTGGCCTGTTAAATTTAGGTTGCCGAAAGAACCTGTCAACTCATTTTCTTAACAAGAAGTCTTTGGTTGATCTCATAATATAGTAGCTTAAACAAAAGAAAAATGTTAGTGTTTTTACAATTGGTCTATTCCCTTGCTTTTAATTCCTAATGTACTGAGTATATTTCCACTGACTTAGGAGTTGAGAACATTTTCTGTGGAACAGCGATTGAGAAAGGCATTTCCTGCTCACTCTCTTCCCATCTCCATATTTCGTTCCCAGCTCTGGCCTTTATTCATATACCGAACCTTCCAACTTGTCAACTACACAGGCTAACCCAAAGATTTCTATTCTATTTCCAAGGGAGATCTACTTCCCTTCATGCCCCCTTTCTATCTCATTTCTGTCTTACCTTTCTGCCAACCAAATAAGGTATCCTTGCTGCTTCTCTATCTTCATCACTCACTCTGGCCTTCATTTCAATGTACAACTGATCGACCCAAGTGAACCAGAGATGTGTCAAGGACAGGATTAGATCATTTCTGTCTTCTGTATCTCCCATCATAACATAGTGAAAAACAAACAATTGATGCCTCATAAATGGTTGCTTTGACATGCAATAATGATTGATATTTTGTAACAAAGGAGTTTTATTTTTAATTGAAGCTAAGATATTTTCTTTCAACCTGAAAAAACATGCATGCAAACAAAAGCCCTGTTGGAAATATCAAAGTGACTCAAACATATTGACTAGACTATGGCTTCCTCTGTCTTCCTTTTGTGAGTGGTATTAGAAAAATCATCATGCATATATACGTGCTTTATAAATATTTTCTGGTCATGGGAGTGTTGCTCTGTTACAGGAGTTTGTTGAGCTGAAAAAACAATATGCTATTCTTCAACATAAAACAAGCGCTACAGGACTGACAAAGGAAACATTGGGAAGAGTTAAACAGCTGCAAGATGCTGCAGAAAAATTGGCTGGAGATGCAGAGGACAAGATAAGAAGAATAACGGGTATCTATTCTTTTACCCAAGCTGCCAGTTTGACAATAACTTCATACTACTCTCCCTTCCTCGTAGAATTTATACCCAATTTCAATTTATAATTAACACAGTTTAACCACACAAGAGTCCACTGAGGAGAGAGAAGTAGGAATTGGTCTTGTGTTTTGGGGACTACAAATTAACAAGCCTCTTGCATGGATTTACCTAGAAAGATGTTAATGAGCATCTGTCCAGCATTAATCAAAACAAACTGAGATTTCCTTTAGTCACCTTGAAATGCCCTTTTCCTAATTCAGTGTTCTCAACTGGGGGTAATATGTCTAAAGATACAGTTTTGCTTGTCACCCTGGGGGTACGACTGGCATGTAGTATAGAGGCCAGGGATGTTGCTAAATATCCTACAATGCACAGGACAGCTCCCCACAACAAACAGTTATCCTGCCCACGATGTCAACAGTGCCAAGACTGAGAAACCCTGTCCTAACTGACACTTCTTATTTTTCCTCTCATGTACAGAAGTCTTTTGGGGTCAGCATGATAGGGCACTAGGTCATCTAGCATAGATCTCTGGGTAGCAATCCAGAAGGAATCACATTCTGGATAAGGATTTTGATCAAAATAAACATTTTGATGCAAACAAAGTATAGAAAACATAAAACACATACAATAAGAAAGCTAATCAGAATATTTGTCCCACAATTGATATTTATGATTTTTCTTAGCAATCATCATGTTTTTAACTACCTCTAAATCACCAAGAAATATCAAATGGTGAGTGTATAGTTTTATTCTTGGTTGTATTTATTGTCTCTCAAAACTTTAATTATATTCATTAGGAATATAAATAACTCTTAAACATTAAAATAACCAAAACTCTTCAGTTATAAATGCTTCTTTTTTAGAAAATGGGTCTTTGGCTTTACAACCACTTATATCATCCCTATGACATGAAAAAAATGGATTGCAACATTAATATGGGCCAGAGTCAGGAAAAAGACATACCAAACTGCTAACATTAGCTATCTCTGGGGAGGCAGGGCAATGAAGAAGAAACCACTTCTGTTTACATTTGTATAATTGTTTTAAAAGCAGCAGGTGTGTAGGTAATTTTTTTTTTCATTTTTAAGTATTTTCCTTAGAATTTTTAAAATGAAATACTAGGAAAAATGGAATTTCTTTTTTACCTTACATTCCATAGACAATATCATGAAAATCAGTTTCTATTGTTTCAGACCCTGGTCCTTACTACAGGAGCAAAAACTTGGGGAGAGTATTTCTGTCCTGTGTTTTATGTCAGAGTCCAGATTGTTTCCACTCATCCCCATTGACTAAAACTTTTATAGTTCTTGAAATTAGATTGGAAGAGAAGTTTAAGTTAGAGGACTTCTCCGCAGAGAGGTCTAAAATAATACATTCAACTTCTTTTTCTCTTTTCACTTTAAGGCTGTTTTCACAACTCAACAAGATAGAAAAATAAGACATTGATTTGGCTGTCTTCCCCACTCTGCCGCTTTGAGAAGGGGTGGAAACACAAGGGCTGTGCTCTTATTAGAAAGAAATGCCCATGGCATCCCAGTGAGGAGCCTTTGGCAGTAGCAAAGTTGAAGGAGTGGAGAACGGGCCCCAGCCTGCAGCCAGGGCCCCTCCATATAACTTTGGGTCAGTTGGGGTCACAGAAAGAGACAGAAGTGTACTCAGACATAATTCTGGATAATGTATTTATAAATGGACTTATCTCAATTATCTATTCACCGCATAGTAAACCACCCCAAAATTCAATGGCTTGAAACAACAACCATTCTTATTTTGCTGTGGGTTGCCTGGGTGGTTCTTCTGCGGGCCTCACCTGGGCAGCTTCATTCGGCTGATGGCTAAGCTGATGGGTCTGCTGGGGCCGGGCTGAGCTGAGTTGCTAGTGTGCTCTCTCCATGGTCTGTTATCCCAGGCTGCCTTACAGCCTGGTTGTTTCAGGTTCCCCAAGAGTGAGAAGGGAAGATGCAAGGTCTTGAGGTCCTGCAACATCATTTCTTCTACTTTCTATTGGTCAAAACCAGCCCAGGTTCAGGGGTATAGGGGTGGAAAGCAGGGAAGTAGATTCTGCTTCTTGATGGGAGGAACTACAAAGAATGCAAAAGAATTAGGGGAACCAGCTGAGGGTGTGGAGGGTACCAGATGACGAGCAACAGTCAGAAGCCATGAGCATCCTAGGCCTGAAGGGACAGAGGAACCAGGAATGTTACCAGAGCCCTGTGAATGCTGCCCCGTCAGGGAAGAGGCTGCTCTGCGGGAGCTGGAGCTCAGATGGAAGAACTGCCAGAACCCCGGTGCTGAACAGGGATCGGAACAGTGGTCTCTCCACCCTGTGGTCATGTGTCAGCACATCCATTGGTCGCATATGAATGAAAGCCAGGGGTCAAGGCAGCCAGGGGTGTCCCCCATGAAGTTTAGCTTCCCAGGACACAGAACAGGATGGAGAATGGGTCCAGTGGGGGAAATGAGAAGTAACCAGATCAATCATATTAACTTACCTGGTAGAAACACAGGGGTCTTTTTTCCTTTTAGTCCAAATATATTTCCAGTATTGAATCCCCTGTTCAATCCCAAATACTATTTGAAAGTTTCGAGAGCAGAACACATACCACCTTCCACAGCAGCTCTTTCGTCTTTGAACCATTGTGACTACAGAAAGTTCTTTATATTCAGACAAATTCTTCCTTCATGGAGCTTGCCCTGCTGGCTTTCATTTTATTTCCTTGGGATAACAAGAGAACATATGTATGCTCCGTCCTAAGCTACCCCTTCAAATACTTGAAAATAGCTATGGCACATGCCCTGAATCTTTTCTCTACGTGAAACATCATCAATTAATTCAATATTTGTTCATGGGACAGTTTCAGATGTCTTCGGCAATCTGGCTTTTTCCTCCAAACACATGTTAGTTTGACAATTACTCCAAACCAACTCAGTACTCGGGTGTGATCTGACCAAGTGAAGTGGACGTTTACCTTCCTTCTTCTAGAAGTTCCACTTCTACCTAAGATCTGAGTTTGTTTTAGAAAGGCCACCTCACACCGTGGCTCTCTACGCCTCTTTTCCCACCACTTATGGGATCCATGTTAAGGTTTACTAGAATTCCAAGATATTTGTTGAATGAAGAATGAATAAATGAAGGCATGGATAGCTGGCTAAATGGATGGATTAATGGATCCATGGAGTGGTGGATGAATAAGTGTGAATCCAAGAAAGGCATCACTTTGCTTGTCCTGTTCAGAGACTTTAATATCGACAAGGAAGAAGAATGAAGAAATGAAAATGTCATTCCTTTTCCAAGAGATTGGAAAACACTGAAGTGAAGAACACATGTTTAAAAATGAAGTTAAAATAATAAGAACAAATCTTTGGAAATATAGCACTTCACTAAATCCAATCAAAGCTGTTACCCATCTTTTCATTTCTAATGAATTCTAACCAGCAACAGACTCACATTGATAAATGCCTTTAGATATACAAATTTTTAGACAAAAAATATCAATTTGCTCTGTACATGTGAAAACCTTGAGAAATCTGGTAAAAATAGATGTTTTATCCATTGAATCAAAACACAAAACTAAATCTACTTTTAAGAGACACACAAATCCCTGTGCTTGGTATGATGCGTATATCCAGGAAGAATTGATCAAATGGAAACATATCATGTCTTTCATTTTCTTCTTTCAGATTTAGAAAAGAAGATCCAAGATTTGAATCTAAGTAGACAAGAAAAAGCTGATCAACTGAAACAATTAGAAGATCAAGTTGTTGCCATTAAAAATGAAATTGTCGAACAAGAAAATAAATATGCTACCTGCTACAGTTAAGCAGAGTGAAAACACAAAGATTATGACTTTGTTTCTGGGTTCTGATGCCCAAAGTTGAGGAGCTGCACTGAACTTGTGAAATACCCATGGTCCGCCTCTCCCACCTTCCCTTCCCCACTCCTCTCCTTGCTACACAGCTGCTCTGTGCGGCTGGAGGGGGAAACTGGGCCAGCAAAATGCCACTTCAATGCCCCTTTATAACAGAGAAGGGGAAGTAAAGAGATTGTCTGTGGTTTCAGAAACCTTTCCTCTTGCCTTGCTTTCTCTTTCATAACTTAAAAATAATTGGTCACATATGGAAAGTAAAGGTTTACACAAGTACTATATTTAGGAATGATCACTTCAGTCAAGTGAACCTAAATGCTAACTAAATATCTCAAATACTAGGAAGGAATATGGAATACATGTGGACGGCCTGCACTAGATTGTCCTATATTTTATATTTATTTGGATTTGCTTTTATTTGTAAAACTATTATTCTCTTTGGGATAAAATGCATACAATTAAAAATGTAACTTGCTTTCACATCTGTTTTCTTGTATGCTCATTCTCTCAACTAGAGGATTCTGTTTTCTGCAAATGACATTGAAACAGTATTCACATTCACTTGGTAAGGGGGGAAAAAGAAGGAAGGATGAAGGGAGGAAGGGAGGAAGGAAGAAAGGAAAGAAGAAAGGAAATAAGGAAAAAAGGGTAAAGGAAAGGAGAGGAGAAAGGAAAGAAAGAGAAGAAAAGAAAGAAGAAAGTATTCACAAAGATAATTATCGAACTACTATTCATAATTTGCAGGCATTTTTGCTATAAAATCTACTTATTTTTAAAAGACTAGCAATCATGTTCTTATTGTTTAGTACAAAAGATAGATTGTCTCACTTCAGAATGAGTGATTTTACATCAGCTTTTTTTGCACATGTGATTTATAATAGAGCGCATTGCTTCTGTTTGCGAAAGCTGTCTTTCAGAGGGATTATTTTAAGAAATAATATACATCAACATTGATGTATGAAAGAGGAAGACCAGCTGGAGCTTTTCTATTAAGGACTGGCTCATAAAAAATGGATTTAAAAATTCAACAAAAGGGCTTTAGGATTACACATAAATAGAAAAATTCTTAAAAATCTAGGCCATTAAAGAAAATTGTGGGATTTATTTCCCAAGAGATCCTGAAGAATGGAAGGAAACTTTCCTATAGGAAGGGCCACCCCAGAAATCTCTCTTGAAGTATACAATTGTAACATTCCACACATGCAGCATTGACATTTGCAAACCTCTACCAATGAACTGTGCATAAAATGATCCAGAGAGTCAAAAAATACAGCCTTCACAAAGTCTAAGTTCTTTACTCCAATGCTGAGAGTGGAACACACTCCAGCTTCCCCATCAGGGACTGACTTTCAACTCTGTACAAATGATACACAATATTACACGCGTGCTTTTTGTTTGCAATAGCAATATTCAATTGTTCTTTTTTTCAGTGATCAGAGACTATGCAAGTAGTAGGCCAGGGGGTGTGGAAAGAGTTTTTATCTGCTGACTGGGAGGACTAACTGGCTGTTGAGTTCTGGAGAGGCAGAAAAATCCCAGCAATTAGAAAAGCACACTTATCTGGGAAATCAAGTGAAAAGGCAAGATAAACTCATCATCTCAGGAGACCCCCAGGCATTGTAGTTTGATGAGGTTAAAAAGTATGTGATGTACTTTGGAAAGATTTCAATTATATATGGTTGTGCTTTCTAAACTTAATAAGCTTTAGTTATCTAAAAAAAAAAAAAAAGTACATATGTGAAAAATCTCATGTAGCACCCAGCAAAATGAAAGCACATCCACTCTGTCTGCCAGGGAAACAAACCCAAAGTCTCATCACTTGAGCGCACCGTTACAGTCCTGCCTGGATAGAGTGCAACTTATAATCAAACTGCACTACCACCAAACACCAAGTATAGGATAGTGGGGGAAGGAAGGGAGATAAAAAGGAAATGAAATATATTTGATAATTAAAAATATAAATACGGACAAAACATAGCATATTGAGAAACAGACGGAGGCTGCAGACTTCATTTCTGTCACTCCTCAGGAGGCTGTTGCTGAGATTTATGGTCTCTCTTTACTACTCTGTCCGTGTTCCCTCTGCGTCAACAAGCAGCTCTTCACCAGGTAGGGTGACCCACGCCTTTTTTCTAGAGGATTCTGAGCCTTTGCAGGTCCTGCGTACTTGGGGGTAGAGTGCGCTTACATCTTTCCCTGGACATGGCAGTGCAAGGATTTTCGAGGTCCCAGGCACACCCCTCCCTGCCACCACTGAGCACCAGCAGCTCCATTTCCCTGTAAGAGTCAGGATCGATTACACCAGCCAAAATTACACCCCCTCCTTTTTTGGCTGTTTATCCTTTAGCTGGAGGATCCTGAACTAGCTGGGTATTAGTATGTATTCCAGTTCAATGGAACAACCGTTGTGTCATCTAGTGAAAACATACTTCCTTAGAGACCAGAGCCCAAAGTCACAGGTATGGAAAGTAAAATTTTGCCGGCGAGTTATCTGGATATAATCATGAGCAGTGTCGTATGTATTTCCACTCTTGGTTTCAGATCCACGCATTGTGCCTGCAGGATGTTCCATCATCTTTCATTGTAGAAGGCACAGCTCTGCCTCCCAGCTAAGAAAGAGGATTTGATGTGAGTAGCCAAAAAACAAAAAAAGAATCAAAGTATGTAAAGCACCTATACATACATAGTCAATGATAATATGATTAGATGATACCTTTTAGTTCTTTATATGAAATATTTACATGCATCAACCTATGTACGTTTTCTTTACCTCTATTACATTGTCCTACTAGATCTATAATTTGAACTGACTGGAAATCACATCTACCCAACACTGGGAGATCTGATAAGGTGTGTGAGGGACCAACGTGGCGAAGTTGACATGGAAGGTGAGCATCTCAGAGCAGGGCAGGAGTCGGGGGCAGGAGTAAGACAGTCAAAGTTTGAACCTCAGAGGCCACATAAAACCATCTGGAACCCAGCTAGTCACGTCGGAAAATCAATATAAAGGTCAGGAAACAAGTCACCATGAGGTAGCTGGCATGGCCCATTTAAGCAGACAATTCTATTTTTTCTCCCAGATTAGAAGCCAATTGCAGGTGAAGGGTAGCTCAGAGCCAGTAGGTGAAAACAATTAGGAAAAACACCAATGCGGCACAATGAAGTAAAGGAAATCCTAAGGCAAATCCTGGCAAAAATGCATGAGCCTTTTGGGGGACAGGCTGGAAACTGCTGTCCAATATCCATTCTACCCCTTCTTCCTTTGGGAACTAGAACTCCTCCATGTTGTAAGGCACATACTGCCTGCCTAGGACTGTAGTTCAACCTCCCTTGCAGTTCAATATGACTATGTGACTAAATTCTGGCTAACGGATATGAGCGTAAGTATTTGTGTGCAACTTCCAGGGACCTTAAAAGGAAGCTGTTTGTCCTCTATGGTTGGTAGAATAATGGCCCCCAAAAGACATCCACGTCCTAATCTTCAGGACTTGTGACTATGTTATGTTATATGGCAAAGGGAAATTAAGTTTACAGATGGAATTAAGGTAGCAATCAGCTGACCTTGAGAAGGGGAGAGTATGCTGGTTTATCCAGGTGGACCCAGTATAATCAAGAGGATCCATAAAAACGGAAAGGGGCAGGAGCCAGAGAGATGGCAGCCTGGGCAGACTTGGCCTGATGTTGGCTTTGAAGGTAGAGGAGGCCATGAGCCAAGAAAGGTAAGTGGCCCCTAGAAGCTGGGAAAAGCAAAGAAAGGGATTCTCCCCTAGGGCCTCCAGAAAGCAACGTAGCATGCCCAGTGAGGCCTGCATCGGAACTTTAACCTGCAGAGCTGTGAGATAAACTTGTGTCATTTTAAGCCACTAAGTTTGTGGTAATTTGTTACAGCAGCAATAGGAAACTAAGACACCCTCCATTTGTGTTTGGCTTTTTTCCTCTTCAGTTAGGCTGGAATATGGTGAGCCAGCTATAACCACGTAGACGAGGGTAATACTAGTGAAACAAGACGGAAGAAACATAGGTCCCTGGCTGACTGGACCAGTCAGGGTCCCAGCAGGAAACGGGACACAGCTGGGGCAGTTTAGTTAAGGGGGCTATTTCCAAAGATGTGAGCAGAGTGGGGGAAAGCCATAAAGGATACTGCAGCATCCCAGAGCTGGCACCAGGCAGGGGTCATCGCCACCCTTGGCCCGAGGAGTAAGGTGAGAGCATGACAGCTGAAAGTCGAAGACAGACTATGCAGGAGGGCCACTTAGCAGAAGCTGCAATCTTTGGGCGAGGGATACAGCCAGCGTGACAGCCCTGACATCACTCTCCTCCCCGCACAATCTCTTACTGATGCCTCTCGTTGGCTAAACCTTCAGACTGGGTCGATGTTTCCATGTTAATCAGCCTCGAAAGGCATAGAGAAGGGGGCAGTATTAATAGATACGGAAAGGCCCAGTGCCCTTGTGGGTTAGAGCTGTGTGTGCCTGGCTCCCTTGGACTACCTACCAGCTTAAACCTGAAAGAAAAGTGCACCTCTCACTTAAGTCCCTGTGACTTCGATCTCTCTCAAAACAGCTGAACCAATATCCTCACTGATATCTTTGGGGTACTAGAGGACCCCAAACTGCTATAACAGACCCCTCTGCCCTGCAGCATGGAGACAGTGGACCAAGGATCAAGTGATAAATGCAAAGCCTGGCTTGTCCCCCACATGACCTTAGGCGGTTCACAGCCTGCCTGAATCTCATGTCCTCATTTCCTTCAGCTGTAAAATGCTAATAAATATACCTGGTCCACCTCCCAGGGTTATGAGCTGATTCCGGTGAAAGGGCTTTGAGAAGAGTTATGAAGTATTACAGAAATCCTTCAAGACATTATTACATCGTGAAAGTTACACCCGCATCCCCTCTGAGCCATCGTTCCTGTGGTACCAGATCCCTTAAAATCCTGCTTGCTCTCTCAGCAAACCTAAGCTTTCCCCAAACCCCTGAAGGCTTCTCTCTAGCCTAACTCAAAGCCCTTTCTCTGAAGTTCTAGCTTATATT